TATAACCAAATAACCAAATTATAAAACTTTTATATACTAAATTTTTATAAACTAAATGTTTTATTTTTATTATAAGTATTTGATTTTATAATTAAACAAAATATACCTTATTAAATGGTACTCTCCTTGTGGCGGTGCGCTGTGACAAGACCATTAGGACTTTTTAGATCATCTTAATAAAAAAAAAAAAAAAGTAGCAACTCCATCGCGAAATCTTTAAAGCGTTATAACTCGCCATTTCGCGGACTTTAAGGACAGCGTCGGAATAAGGGTTTGACAAGAGAGCCTACCGAAATGTAATTTATGGGCTACAAAAATAATGCTGACAATCTTTATATAATACACAATACAAATACACATTACACTAGCTTGTTTGGCATTTTAACCAAGTTTTTGGTATAGCCTTGAGAAGCTCGTTTCTTCTGTGTCTTTCAGCCATCATCCAAATAAAGTTTTTATGAAAACCTCTTGACTAAAAAATGAAAAGTAAACCATAAAAAATGATCGGTTGTAGAATCTAATATTTTTTGAGGGTTGGTGAACAATATTCTTACTAAAAGCTAATCCAAATATCATAAAAATTTTACTTCGTCAATAATTTGCATTTATATAAAATGTTAGTTTAGGCAATATTCGGTTTAAGGTTAAATAATTAAAGTGGGTGTTTAAAAACATTTTTAAGTTTGATTTTTTGCAAAAACTAACTCATCAATGTTAAAATTTATTGTTTATGTTTAGTTATTAGCAACCATTTAAAAATTCTTTTAAAAAATAAAACAAAGTTGAGAACTGTTTTATTTGTTGAACGCGGTAAATACAAAATTAGATAACTGAGTAGCCGTAATCTACGCATGCGCATGAAAAATCCCAAGTTTTCATAAGTATTGAATCACCGTGAATAATATTAGTAATAATAATGTGAGCTGTATGAGATTGATTCATTTTGTATGAGATTGCTTCATTTTGTATGAGATTGCTTCATTTTGTATTTTATTACAAATATTTGTCTTTAACATGTAAGAGCATAATAAATTGCAACCACTACACTTCAGTAAGAGCAACGAGCTACTCTCCATGATTATTAGTGACAACTTAACTATCCTTCTCTCTTTTTACCTTATCCGTTGGTTCTGTTACCTTGGCTCTAGTTGGTATTATAATTGGGTCCATGTTCATTTCTTTTGATTTTATTTTATTTACTTTTTTCAAAAAACAGCAAGCAACTGGTTGTTATATTCAACCGATTTATTGATTTCAAGACTAAGGCTGCTAGAATCATGTATAAACTTTCCACAAGGGCAAAATCGATAGGGCGATATGCATTTTGCATTATAGTTATTTCAGCTTTTAAATCAAGAAGGCATATTATTTGTCTTTTTAATGCATTAAAAAACTCGGCTTGAGCTGATGGAGCGGATGAATTTCGACTAATTATTGAGACAAAAAGCACATAGCATGTTTGCGTAAGAATTTGGTAATAAATTGAAGGCCGATTTTAGTAAAACTATGTGTTTGATCGGGTATCCGATTTTAGTAAGACTGTGCCTAATCGTCGCCTAAATTATAATATAACTATCACCTTTCTTTCCGTCTTGGATTAATCTTCTTAGATCATAGTTATACTTCCACTATGTTGTGATAGTAAGTGGACATCGGCTTCCTATAATATAATTAATAACATCACTTAATCTAACATCCTCAGCTTTGAGAATATAGTTTGGTGGGTCTTCTAGAGGGGTACAAAAATAATAATGGAGTCCACTACCTATATACCTATATAAAAGCAATTCTAAATATTATTATTGGAAGTGTGAAAACTTTATAAACTTAAAAAATTATATGAACTTAAATTTTAAAATTATATGTCATATGTACGATTATATGTATACGTACGATTTTAAAATTATATGTCAAACGGAAAACTTAGTGTAAATGCGGTGAAACAAATTATGAATTTGAACTATTGGGTTGGTAACTAAGAATTGCGGATTTCACTCTTAGATGACTTTAGTTGATTCTTTAGGTTTGCTGACGTAATTTAATAGTCAATCAAATTTTGTTATTTGATACTTGATACTTCAACTGTCAATCAGGAAATAAATTTTTTTGATCGGTTGTGTAGTTTTTGTTTGGCGTCTGTTAAAAAATGGAAAAACAAAAGGAACATTTTTGTCATATTTTACTTTTTTATTTCTGAAAGGGAAAAAAACGTATCGCAAACTCACCAAAAGTTATGTGCTGTTTATGGTGAAGAAGCTATAAAAGAACGGTGTGTCAAAATTGGTTGGCGAAATTTCGTTCTTGTGATTTTTCACTTAAAGATGAAAAACGCTCTAGTCGTCCAGTTGAATTAGATGACAACCAAATCAAAGCAATAATCGTTTTAGATTGTCACAGTACAACACGTGAGATTACAAAGAAGCTTCATGTATCACATAAATGCGTTAAAAATTGCTTAAAATTATTTTGCAATGTACGAAAACTCGATATATGGGTTCCTCAAGAACTGAGTAACCTATTCAACACAACGCATTAATATCTGCGCTTTGTTAAAGAAGTGTTATGAAAATGATCCATTTTAAAAACAATTTATAACCAGCAACAAAAAATGGGTTGTTTACATTAATGTCAATCGGAAAAGATCGCGCAGCAAGTCGGATGAACCGGCTCAAACAACATCAAAAGCTGATATTCATCAAAAGAAAGTTATGTTATAAGTGTGGTAGAATTACAAAGAAATTGTCTGCTTTGAACTTTTAGTACCCAACCGAACGGTCAATTCAGATGTCTACTTTGAACAAATAACAAAATTAAACAATGCAGCGGCCCGAATTGACAAACTGAAAAGCTGTTGTATTCCATCATGACAGTGCAAGGCCAACCACATCTTTGGTAACTCGGCAAAAAATATTGGAGCTTGGTTCGGATGTTTTACCACATCCACTGTATAGTCTTGACCTTGCACCATCTGATTACTTTTTATTTCGATCTTTGCAAAACTCCTTGAATGGTAAAATTTTCAATAATGATGATGATGTCGAATCGTACCTGGTTCAGTTTTTTGGTGATAATAACCAGAGGTTTTATGAACGTGGAATTAAGATGTTGCCTGAAAGATGGCAAAAGGTCATTACTCAAAATGCGCAATACATCACAGAATAAAGTTATTTCGTTCCATGAAAAAATTTTCTTTTTTTTTTCTAAAAAATTCCGCCGTTTCTTTGTTGCCAGCCCAACACATATAGACCACCAAGTGGTAATATTAAAAAGCTTAAAACTTATTTTAAAATATTATGAAACAAAATAATAAATTTGAAAAAATATTGTTAATTGTTCAGGGATTTTAACATCAACCAAATCTAATAACTAAAAATATATCGAATAAAAATGCTAAGAACTTTATAAATACTCTTCTAAAAAATAACTTTATGCGAGGAATAAACAAATCAAGAAAAGTTTCAAATAAGTCTTCCACTCTATTTGATAAAATCATAACTAACATTTTTCATAATAACCTTTTTTACACAAAAGTATAATTCAGAACAATTAATTAGATCATTTTTCTACATTTTACCAACAATAATTTAGTTAAAAATATTGCAACAAAATCCACAATAGTTCAGCGACAGATCAGTGAAAACTCCGTAAAAAATATTAAAAACTGTTTAAAAAACAGAGTTTATTGAAATCTGATTTTGCAATCAATTGAGGCTAACAATGCACATAACTTGTTTCTTGCTCAGTTTTGCAAGAAATAGGAAATAGCATTTCCAGAAAAAAAAATTATAAATACCAAATCACTCCGAACTTCCTGAAAAAAAAGTTAGAAATAAAGTTATTTTATATTTGTATATTTGTATGGTTGTTTTTGCTTTACAACTATTCTAATTTATTTCTGCCTGATGGTTTAAATTGCTCTAGAAAACAATTATTTTAACAATTTCACCTAACTCACTTTCAAATCAGCTAAAAGTGACCTCCAGTTTAACTCTCATTCAGCTAACTTTCAACTCCAGTTAAAAATTGTCTTGTAGCATTTAAAGATGCATAAAATCCAAGAAAAATATTTATTACAAAGATATTGCCCGATTGTTGGTTTTGTTTTTAATATCCCAACTAAGATTTTTCAAGTTAAGGAGATTATAAATAGCTTAGTAGCAGTAGCTTCTTAAAGGTTGCTTTTTATTATATTTTTGGAAACATTGCTTATGATAAAGGGTTATAGTTATTATTTCAAAAATGAATTTAAAGAAACAATATCTAAAGTGTATTGTTGTCTCACTAATTGACGAAATAACAGTAACTATTTAACAAAGTTATTAATGTAATTTTTTTAAGTAAACTAATTAATATAATTTTGTGAAGTTATTAATTTAAAATTTTTTATTTTAATTTGCAAGTATCTTACAGTAAACTTAAAAAAATGAAAGAAATCTTTTTTAGACTTACATTATAATAAATTAAAATAATTTTGTAAAGTTATTAATTAAAGTTTTAAAGTAAATAATATAACTTTGTAAAGTTGGTAATAAAATTTTTTTTAATTTTAACTTGCAAGTATCTTACAGTAAACTTTAAAAAAAGGAAAGAAATCTTTTTTAGACTTATGCAATCTAACATGTCTTTTGTATATTATAGTATCTTACAGTAAACTTTAAAAAAAGGAAAGAAATCTTTTTTAGACTTATGCAATCTAACATGTCTTTTGTATATTAACCTTTCGGACATTGACACTTTTGAATACTGTGCTGCTATAACTTAGAGTTTGCAAAAGAAAAGTTAAAATATTTGCTCTTCATAACTTACAATGTGTTCTGAGAGAATTTGATACTGGAAACAAATATTTACAGTATTAAATGGTCACAAATGACATTTAATTTAAAACAATTAATTTTACTTACACTAGAACAATCGTTTTGAATACATACGAAAAAATTGTTAGTACAAAGTTGTTTGAACAAAATTCAAAAACACAAACAAAGCAAAACAAATACAAAATAATGTAAAATACAGATAAAACCTTGAATAAAGTTGCAGCAAAATAATTGTGTTACAAGTCAATGTTTAATAAATTGGAACAAAACTCATTTCAAAAATTTAAACTAAACTTAGAAATCTTTAAAATTCAATGTCATATTTTTTTAAAATGAATTACGATAAAAAAGTATTCGTTTTATCAGCAGTCGAAATTGTTTTAGGCAGCATCATGATTGTAGTTTTTGTATTGGTAGACAGGAGTAGAAAAGTAAACGAAGAAGAGAATTATTTATACATAATTGTATGTTTGAGTTAACTAAATTAATGGAGTTTAATTAATTGAAGTTACCTAAATGAAACTGAATACAAACAAAAGTGTTAAACTTTTATTTAAAAATTTGATTTGTTGTTTTAGGCTTTCTTACCTGGAATTGGTGGGATCATTTGCGGATTATTTAATCCACTTGTTAAAGACTTTAGTCGAGGATGCCGAAGATGTTTAATAAAATGGAGATGTACACCCCGATACAATGTATGTATTTTAAGTATATTTTTTGAAAAAAAAAAAGTTTAAGTTCCTTATTTTTTTTATCAATAAAAAAACTATCAATAACAAACTTAATAGTTTTTAATATATAAAGTTCTTTATAAATAAAATATATCACAAAATTAGAAGTGTATTGGAACAGTGTGTTTAACTATAAAGCATTAGAACAATCGTATAACAATAGTATAGAGCAATAACATTGAGCCAGAACAATCTCAAATTTTACTAATTATAATTTCATCTCTTACTTCAATATAAAACTAGTATGCGCGTTTGCTTGTAGAAGTTTACATGGTGCTGTCCTGAGACTGCCATTAGATGTTCTAGTTTGCTTTAACTTTTTTTGTTTAATAGCTATTATTGGGTTTAGTAAAGTGTTTTAAAATATTTTTTATAATCTAAAATAACTTTTATACATCGAAAATTGAGATTTAATTAATTTAAATATCAATAAAATATCACATCACTTTATGATTACATCGTCTGTTCAAAACGGATAAAAAGACACGATGTTACAGTAATATTTCGTAAACGTGAAAAAACTAATTTTCTGTCAAAATGACTGAAACAAAGTGTTTATTTTATGCTTGTTGTTTTATTGCCTTTGGAAAAGGATCAAAAAAACTTATTAAACTAAATACTGCAATACAACTCCATATTCATAACTTATTTTAAAGAGAAAATGATATAGACAAATAGTGATTAAAAAGATATCAAACATCAAAGTTAAATGACTGGAATGAAAAATTATCTTAAATTAACAGACAAAAACCCATCTGATTTTAGGAAAAGTCTGAAAAGATGACAAATAATAATTAATATATAAGCAATATAATTTTTAAAAAAACATATTCTTCCTGTTTTTCCTCAATAGGTTTTCTTAAATAAGTTCAAAATGTTGTACTTTTTTTTTGTTTTTAATTTTTTAGGCATAAGTATAACATATGCTTTAAGAATTTAGAAACATATGCTTTTAAAATCAAAGTCATGCTTTCACTAACTTTTCATTGAATTTCACTGACAAAGTGATTTTGAATCAAAGTCGTAAAAGAATGATTTTAAGTCATAAAATCATGGTTTCGAAATCAAACATTAACTAAAAGTTATAACAGAATGTAAAAAAGCAGTCTCAAAATCGAAAATGAGTCTGGGTTTAGATCAATGTTAGAAAATCAACGTTAGATTAACGTTGATTTAACCAACTTATGTTTGAGTTTGTAAACATAAAAAATACAATTTTTTGCGCCTTGACTCTTTTAATCCGAAAAAGCATATATTTTTTGTACAATATTGTGTTGATATGAGTAAGAAAAAAAACAACAATTCTTCATAAACTTATAATAGCTGTCATAGTACAATATCTTATGCTATTATAATGCACACCATGTTCTAAATTTTGACAGTGTTATTATATTTATAAAGACTTTAATATATCTTCACATATCTTTCTATAAAAATTTATATGAACTTGCAGTATACACAAGTTTTGCATTTTTATATAAAATATGCAAAATTTGTGTATACTGCAATTTCATTTAAATTTTTGTAAATATATTCATATTTTCATAGCAAATTAATATTTTAATGTATTCACTTTTATTACATTAATACTTTTATTAAAAGTTTTCAAAGAGTATTCCACGCACTAATCTTTGTGAGATATTAAATTTTATTTGAAATCCAAATTATTAGTACATTTGCGTCGGCGAACTCTCGTATCTAAATTTCAAAGTAATTTCAACGTTATTTCAACGTTTATTTTTTAACGCTAATTCAACATTTGTTTTTAATTGAAAAGCAATTTTGAAATTGCAATGTTATTTTTTTCAACATTAAACAAACGTTGAAATAACGTTGAAATTTAGATCGTTATTTTTCAACTATATATCAACCATTTCTCAACGTTAAAAAAAACTTTGAAATAACGTTATGTGCTTTTGGTAATTTGGCTTTTGGACTTATAATATGTTATTTTCAGTTTAATATCAATGAGACTCGTTTTCTTTAAGATTTTTTTAATATTATTCTTTGCCAATCGAAAAACACTTTTCATTGATTTTTTTTTACCTTGATTTCTCCGCTGTCTTCTTTGAGTTGATACTTTTACTTTTCTTTAATGTCTTTCACTTTTGATTAAACGAGATATATAATTTCATTTCATTTAATATTTTTTTTATCAAAAATAATAATTATAAATGTAACAAATTAAATAAAATTAAAAAAAAAATGGCATATTTAAAACAACTCATCTTTTGACACTTACTAGCACCACGGCAACCGATGTACTGCTGCGACATTTGTTTTATAATTCGATAAAAAAAAATTTATTTAGTTTAATCAAAAGGTAATTAGAAAAACCACATTTTCATTATTTCAAATGCCACAAACCAACACATAATATTATTAACAATAATAATGAAATAATAACAGAAAAAAAATATAATGCACATTAGTAAGAATCGTATTCAAAACAAAACCTTATATATTTACTACCTCTTTGACACAAGAGTTCAAAAACTTTACAAATGCAGAAATTATAATTCTTACCTTATATATTTGTTCACGAGTAATCCATCTTTGCAGCCTCCGTCTAACTAAGGTTTTTTAACTGTAAAAAAGAATACAGATGTTAGAATACTGATAAGACCTGCACATTTTGCAATTTTATTCGGTCTAACACTACATCGAAAAACTTTTTTGGACGGAGATAACTTATCTCTAGATCTTTTGAATTGAAAAAATTAATTCCTTGTTTGTTGCAAAGGTTACTTGACTTCAGTTTTTTATCAGTTTTTTTTCTTCAAATAAATACGCCCTAGCTTTTTGTTTTGTAACTTTAGCCATTTTGAATACTACTTAAAATTTTTTTTGACATTATTACTTGTTGTTAGTAATGCAAACGCACTTTTGAATACTTTTCCTTAGCATTGGAAAGTAGTTGTTAATTTTTAACTATTTTTTTAACAATTATTGGAATTATTGGCTTATACATTTTAAAATGGCTTTTCCAATCAAATTTACGGGTTTTCCATTTATTGCGCTCTAATGTTGAATAAGTAATATTAAGGTTAAAAAAGTTACCCATGGTTCAAAGATAGTGTTTCTTTACACATAATTTGACACCGGCATAAAACTTTCATATTATATTTTGTCGTTATCTGGAAATAATTTTCTAAGAAATCTATATTTTTAATCGTGCTTTTTGACCGTTTCTGAAAATCCTGTAGACTAGTTTTCTAATTTTTAAAACATTCTTCTCTTCTGAGAATATTATTTAATTCAATAAATACCATCTAAAAGAATAAAAAAAAATTTTTAAACAAATTTCAAGGTCCTCGCCAGGGGTATAAAATGCCCAACTATTTGGCCTAAAATTAGTCTGGAGGGGACCCTAAAAAGTTTGAAAATTTTTTTTTGACTGAAACTTATTTTTATATAAATGGTCATTTTTTAAATCGAGGTACAAATTGCATTTCAAAAATTGATAAATTATGAATGACCCTATTTTACCGCTACGAACACGTAATTGTATATATGGGATTCAATTTCACTTGTAAATTTTTTTACGATCAATTAAAAAAGTATTCATTTTTGTGGTCGGAATCGTGTTATAAAAAATGATTTTACCAAACATTAAATCCCTAATACAATAAAGTGCTTTTACCAAAACAGCGCACAGTTTTGCGCTGTTTTGTTAAAAGTACTTTGTTGTATTAGGGATTTCTGTCTTACTACCAATTTTTGGGGTATTGGCCCTATATAATGACAGAAAGCAAGTAAAATTTAGCTTTTCGACAACATATTATCAAAGATTATAAAAGAGGATACAAACAAAAAGAAACTGCCACCTACTTATCCATCAACAAGTCAATTAATCAAAAAATATTTATCAAACAAATTAAATGGTGGAAGACCACGAAAAATAAGTCGTTTCACTGAAATAAAAATAACGTAAATAATTTTTTTGACTACGCTTGTGATATTATTTTAAACCTAAACATTTTAGTGTCCGATAATATAGTTTGAAAAATTAGACTTGTTCATCAGCTTGTCAAAACAATTCATACTGTTAACTACAAAACCATCCTGCACAAACATATGAAGTAGTCAGTAATCTAATTTGGCTACAGGGTTAAGTTACTATATACCAAAGCTACCTTAAAAATAGAGGACAAGGAGTAATTTAGGATTTAACATGTACATAAAAAGACAAAAATAATAAGTTAGAAACATAAACTGTGAAGTTCCTCAAGGCTCTATTATTAGTCTTTCCTTTTCTAATTTATGTAAATGATATTTACTATCCTAAAACATGCTTAAACTTGTTGTTTTTACTGATGGCACTAATCTTTTTCAAACAAGCCAGTAGAATTACATGTAATATGCATACATACGGCCACGCTTAGTTGTTGCTCAAAGAAAATAAAGGTCTTAGTGTCTATAAGTTGAATCTGTTCCAAAACCAACTACTAATGTATAAATTTTTATAAATTAATCATAAATACTTAACAAAGTTCTTGCTTACTCAGCAGTTTCTTGAAGTTCTTGTTTACTTAGATGTTTGTCGAAGTTCTCGCTTACTAAGCATGTGTGTTTTATAACTTAAATTTATCTTTAATTTAAGTCATCTCTTACAGGAGTTTTTATTTCATATAGAGATCCTCGTCTATGGAACATTGTTCTTGACGAAAAAATGAAAAGTAAAACACCTAAATAAACTATTTTATATAGTATTAAATAGTTTTATAAAGTTTTATTAAGTTTTAAATTATAAGTATAATTTAGCAGTAAAAATAAATTTTTGTATTTTTAACTAAAAACCAAAATTTGTTGTGTTTCTCACATTATCTATTTATTCTATTGTTGCAATTTTATTTTATTTTAGTTTTTTATCACCTTGCTTTATACAGTGTGTAATTGTAAATGTATAAAAAAACATATTTGTAAAAATACTTTACTATACAATATGGGCTTGACGACAAGGCCTCTGTCTTCTACTTGCTCCTGTCTTTTTTTTCTTTTTCTATCATATTTTGTTAAAGAAACTTATCAAACAAGAGCAATGTTTATGTTCAACAAAAATATTTATAAATGATCAAATAAATTTCTTTATATAGTATAAAATAATAATAACCTTCAAATTTCTATCAGATTAGAATCTGAAGGAAATGAAATTTGATCTGATTGAAATTTCCATCTGACAAATTTTATGAATGGTATTTAAAATCTGAATAGAAATTTCCATTAGATGGAAATTTCCATTTGAATGAAATTTCCATCTTGATTTCATCAAAATCTGATGGAAATTTCATTCAGATCAGAATTAGATGGAAATTTAAAGGTGCGTAGAATTCAAATGTTTACCTAAAGGTAAACATTTGAATTCTACGCACCTTTAAATGTTTTAAAATGTTTACCTAAAGGTAAACATTTGAATTCTACGCACCTTTAAATGTTTTGAAATGTTTACCTAAAGGTAAACATTTGAATTCTACGCACCTTTAAATATCCATCTAAAACAACACACCTTTGAATTTTTAATGTAAAGGTGCGTAGAATTCAAATGTTTACCGTTAGGTAAACATTTGAATTCTAAATTCACAAAAGGAATGGTCAGGTTTGGTTCTGCAACCGTTTAGGGTTGTTTTTCTGATTTTAATGGAATAGGACCTATCCATCAAATATATGGTGTTACGAATAATTTGTTTATCATCATTTTGTATACTATTAATTTTTATGCTGTTATTTAGTATATCATTATTGGCTTTTCATGCTAATAATAACAGGCCTCTATACGGGCGTTTCAAAAAGATAAAAATCCAAACAACACGTCGCAATTCTTTAAATAATGGCTTCCAACATATCAAATTGAAGTAATGAAGCGGCTTGCCTAATTATTTGATCTTATCCCATTAAAAATATATGACACCAGTTATGACATTAAAGCAGCCGTGGTGGCATGGTTAGATTTTTTGCTTCAGAATTGAAGGTTTGTGGTTCAAAGCCGACTCTGGCCTAATATCTCTCATTGGTAAGGAAGGAGACGTAAATTTCCTCGTTAAATGCTATTCCGCCTTGCTCTGTGATAAAACCGTTATAACTTCATAGAGCACCTATATAAATCAAACCATGAGGTCGGAAGTTTGACGTTGGTTCTAAGCAAAATTGATAATGAAGGAGGAGTGAATTTCCTAGTTTAGTGATCTTCAGCGTCGCTCTGTGATAAGAGCGTAAGACGTCTTATCAAAGAGCGATATTTTTTATTTTTCCATTTTGTGTAGTAATAACTACACAAAATGAAAAAATAAAAAATATTAACCACTTAGTTTTTTAATCTAAACTATGTCATGGTTAGATAATATAGATTTACTTACGACATGAGCGAAATAATAATTTCTTTTACAAAGACATTATACTGTTCAGAAATGCAAAAAGAGTTAATAGCGAGCTTTTTATTTATATAAATCAGCTTTTTACTTATATAATAAAATAAAAATATATATTACATTTATTTTTATTTTATTATATAAGTTAACATTGTCAACAGTTAGAAACTAAAAAGTAAATAAGAAACTTATAAATGAAATAATTCAAAAACTCATTATTAAATTTTGTTAAAAAAATCGTTTTTGTAATACTGTATGTATGTATGTATGTATGTATGTATGTATGTATGTATGTATGTATGTATGTATGTATGTATGTATGTATGTATGTACGTATAAATGTATGTATGTATGTAGATGATGATATCATATTACTTAAAACTTTTTACGCATGTATATGTATATATATATATATATATATATATATATATATATATATATATATATATATATATATATATATATATATATATATATATATAGTATATATATTTATCTATTAAGCACTCTTTAAAATATACATCTATAAATATATATCTAGTTTATCTATTAAGCACTCTTTAAAATATACATTATTATACATGATAATATAAAGAAATCATCTTTAATATTTACATATATACACCCACGTATATATATATATATATATATATATATATATATTAAATATTCCAAAATTGCCAAGGAAATTTTTACTTGAATGGTCACAATACCTTACAAATAGAAACAAATAGTTTTAGAAGGAAAGTTAGGGAAACGTTGGAAATACAACACAACAAAAATACCTTTTGCGACAATGGTCTTAACACTTTTGCTGCCAAACCTGTTTTAGCAAAGCGTTATTACACTGTCAAGCCGTAAATTATGCGACATTAAATATCTGCTGAGACTGTTTTGCGTGGTTTTGTTCTCACTGTCAAGGGTAGATATCAACATTTCAATAAATAATATTTTTTCTATCAAGCATAATTTAAAAGCATTTTTTATTTTGAATATAAAAAAGAAAAAAAAATCACTACGAGTGAACTCGTACTTTGGCAATGGAGAAGAAATTTTTTTCGCCAGCGCCAAAGTACGAGTATACCCGTAAGCGTTTTGTAACAGCAATCGTTGTAACATGCATTCATTAGAAATGGTTGAAGTGACGAACAGAAGAGGTGTAAAGAAACTTAAACCCTATATAATTCGAGATTATAATAAAGACATGTCAGGAGTTGATCGAGCTGATCAAATGGTATCTAATTATGACTGTCTAAGAAAAACCACTAGATGGTATAAAAAAGTAGCTATTATTTTTTACAAACTTCCTTATTTGGCTGCTATACCACCAAATGAAGTGAAGAAATTTTCCACAAAACCTTGTCGTGTTTGTTCTAAAATGAAACGTAAGGAAACACGCTATCAATGCGTTGTATGCTTAAAAAAGCCTCCGTTTTAAAATATACCATGTAAAATAAAAGGTTTTTAAAATATTTTTCAAGAAAACAACATGAATACTAAACATAATACTTTTATTTATTTTAAGTTTCTTATATCATTATCCCGATTTATATAAAACACGGGGGGTTTACGAAGTACAAGTCTATAACTTAGTTATTTCTAAATTCGATTCTAAAAAAAAAAAAGATATTATATGAACTAACATAGCTAAACATTGTTAAAATTAAATTTTTAATATGTTAGTTGAACTGCGAGTATACTCGTAGCTGGCCAAATTTTTACGCACGCCATTCTACAAGTATACTCGTGGTTGGCCGAAAAAAAGCATTTTTTTAACATGATGACATTTATGTGACAACGTCATTTTGGAAACCCATGTTCAAGTTCTTACGTCACAAAAAACACTTAAAAAAACTCTTTTTTTTTTTTTTTATTTTTTTTTATTTTTTTTTTTTATTTGCATTCACTCCCAACAAGGATGCAAGCAACCACTATTAAGTTGGGAGTTACTAGGAAAAAAAAAGAACAGAGTTATAGAGCAAGGAAACGGTTGACAGAAGACTTGAAAAGTTGAAGGTTGTATGAGTCAGGAAAACATGAAGATGGGAGACAGTTCCAAAGAATTGAAGTGCGGGGAAAAAAACTAGATGAATAAAAGTTTTTAGAGCATGCAGGGACAGATACAGAAAACGAATGAGACTTAGCTGAATGACGAGTAAAACGAGAATGAATTTTAGTTGATGGAACTAGAGATGATAACTCCTTTGAGCAGTGACCATGATAGTATCTGTAGAAAAGAGAAAGAGATGCAACTATACGACGATGGGAAAGAGGTTCAAGCTTAGCAGATAGACTTAATAAGAAGCTCTTACAAATAACATTGTTTCGTGAATTTAAACGATTTTTTATAATAAGCATTTTTATTTTTGATAACGGTTTTTAATATACTTGATTGCGAGGGCATCATATTCCCTCGAAATATTGTAAAAGTAGATATATTTTTACCAAATTGATATTAAACCATAAAAGGAAGTTTTGTTTAAAATATTTACACAAATAAAATCTAATGAAGATGCTAACATTAAAAAAATAATATATATATATATATATATACATATATATATATATATATATATATATATATATATATATATATATATATATATATATATATATATATATATATATATATATATATATATATATATATATATATATATATATATATATATATATATATATATAATATAAATATATATATATATTTATATATATATACATAAATATATATATATATATATATATATACATATATATATGTTTATATATATAAATATATATATATATATATATATATATATATATATATATATATATATATATATATATATATATGTATATATATATATATATATAAATATATATATATATATATGTATATATATATATATGTGTATATATATATATATATTTATATATATATATATATATATATATATATATATATATATATATATATATATATATATATATATATATATATATATATATATAAATATATATATATATATATGTATATATATATATATATATATATATATATATATATATATATATATATATATATATATATATATATTTATATATATATATATATATATATATATATATATATATATATATATATATAATTTTTGTCTGTATTTGTTTTCATTTTAGATGTTTACATTTGTTGTTTATAACTTAATTTTTCTTGGAATATACATCTATATTATACAATATAAGATTCATTATTGGCTGCAAGTTAATACTAAAACTTGTCAGATTGATAAAGTTGAAACAAATTGTGTCTGCTGGATTAACAATACAACATACATCATTCAAGGTTTAATTTAATTGTAACTTTGTTTTTATAGTTTTAAGTTACAGGTTTGTTTAATAAAAAATATGGGTTAACTTCATTACAGTAGCTGACCAGGGTTTAATTTTACTGAAACTTTTTTTTAATTTATTATTGCTCTTTTTTTTGATACATATATTTTGCTGTTCATAAAATAAAAAGTAGCATAGACGACGAGAAGAAGGCCTATATTTTTTATTAGATATCTAAAAATGGTAATTTTATCAAAACGGCTGATGCAGTAATTAATCTGCAAAAGCGTTTAAAAAAAAGTTTTTTTTTTTTTTTAAATTTAGTCGACACACTTATCTAAATTCTTTTTTGCTTGCAATTGTTATTACAAGCTTAAAAAAAAAGCTTATTACAAGATATAAAAAATTTAATGAAGAGCATTTTAGAAGATTTGCTAAACAATGACTCGTATAAAGTTGTAGAGAAAAATTTTTCTACAGAAGAGAATAGCTCGATTACGCTTTACCGGTCACGTCTAGCTGCTACTGTCTCAGGAGGAAACAGTGCAAAGTTTCTTGCACAACGGTTAACACATTTTAAATATAGAAGTGAAAACTTATGTACAGTTTACTAAAAAGGTTTTTCCAACCAGTGATCACGACGCTGATCACTGATTGAAAATAAAGATGATCTAGATAATACTTCAGTTCTCTAGCAAGCTTTATGCATCCTTGCTGGTGAGTTTTATCATTGATTTGGTATTGAGCTTGCTCCGTTAACATTGTTTAGGATTAATCGGAAATTGCTCAGCAATTTCCGATTAATCCTAATTAATGCATGCAATTTTTTAGTATATACATAATAGTAAAAATGAAAAAAGATAAGCAACCAGTGGTAAAAATGAAACCAGAAAAAAGGGTAAAAGCTGGACAGATATCTTCTGCAAAGCGAAAAGAGAAGCAAGCCGCTTTAATAAAAGTAAAAAAGCATTACTTAAAATAGATAAAGTTGAAGTAAAGGCTGAAAAAAGTAGTGTTGCAAATAAAATTCAAATTTTTTTTATTTGCAACACTATATATCGATATTATCTGCTTCTGCGGCCGTTTATGTAAAGTATGGAATATCTCGTACTGCTGCTGTTGTATTTTTTTTGAAATAATCCAAGTAAAGCTGAGACAATTCAGCATGCAACACCTGAAGAGACAAGGGCTCAACTGGTGCACAAACAAATAGGAAGGAGTAGTGTCAATAACTCCAACCAAAACGTCTGTTTGATCAGAAGTACTGGCGGCTATACTTAAAAATTTCAAAACTTTTTTACCTTTTGTGTTTTTGTCACGAAATTTAAATGAAACAACCATAATACGCTAAATCCATGTTAACGCAACACTATAGCGCCATGTGCTTGGACTTTCAGGTACTTGTTGCAATGATACTTTAACCATAGGTGCTGTAGGCAACGCTGGATATAATTGTCTTTCAGTAATTCTTGTTTATATATAATATTTATCCTTAAGCTTTTGGTATGGCTTTTGCCTTGTTTCAAATACAATAAAAGCTTCAGATTTATAAAACTTAAATTAATGTTGGTCAAAGATTTGATAAAGGTTGAAGGGCGTGCCAACTCAAATTATTTGGTTGCCAAAAATGGTAAGTACTTGTTTCTTCGATTTCGAAGCGCGTAGTTTCATTTATTTTTGGAGGGCTTTCATAAGTCGCTGTATTGCTTGCCAATTTCTCACATTCCAAAAGATTATTAGAAATTTTAAGAGAGTCTGGAGAGGCTTGCCATATTATCTGCTTTAGAGAAATCTCTGAATATATTGATGTCATTAACAAAATCTTTAATATGTATGTTACGGTTGAGTTACATGTTTAGCAAACTGTGTGCGTTTTGAGTCATTATTATGTGAGAGCGTAAAAAAGCAGTAAGCTCCATATTGTGATTTGTAGTGTCGATATACTCATCATTCTCTCTTGTCACTCTTGATCTGTTTTTTGATTCTGTTGTTGTTCCAATGGTTTCTGAATTTGATCCGTGATTATATACAGCGATTTCTTAACCGACTATTGAACTTCTGTCAGCAAATTGACCTGGCAAAAGGCAAAAAGCGTATTTACAAAGTGATTGACTTAAATTTTCCAGACCTCTTTTTGTTGGACCGTGTTAGAAACTTTTGTTTACAAGACCACTTTTTGTTTAAAATGCTGATTGATCAAAACTTTTTTTTTAAGTATCGAAACGCGCTTTAACCGGTAATAAAACGTTTAGTCTCCATAAAATACGGCGTACAGAGTAGTATATGTGAAATTGAAACAAAGCTCTTTCTTATGGATCAGTACAATATAAAAATAAGGTGTTTATACCACAGCAAGCGAAACCACAACAGATAGCAAAATTTAGCATGCATTTGTAACTAACATCACTGCTTGGAGTGTAATCTTGCGGGATGTGTGGCTGCTTAAAACTGTAAGTATAAAATATGATCTTATATCTTGGTCTAAAGCTAAAATCTTTGTTAACAAAAAAAGACGGTGATTCTAAGTTTTCAAAAGTAATTGAACAGCGGATTGGCCTTCCCATTTTAGGATAAATAACTTCACTTAATTTAACATCCTCAGATTTGAAAATGAAATTTGGTGGCTCCTCAAGGGGTGTATAAACCGTCCCTCAAGCTACTGCTTTTCCAAAGTAACTGGAAATTCAATCGGTTTAGGAATTACTAAAAATGACATTCTTACTAATGGTCAAGCAAACAGACTTTTTTTAAATGGTATGGAGCTTTACCACTTAGTCAAGGAAAACTGTAATTACCTCAGCGAATCAGCTTGTAATGCGCTTAATGAAACAAATGCTGTTAACACCCCTATTCCAATAAATTAAAGCTAAACTTGAACCAAGATATATTTGATAAGAAATTGCTAAAGAGTTTAACAATTTTTTTATAAACATAGGAAAAAAACTATCTGCAGATATAACACCTGGAAATAAAATATTTCATTTCCATTTAAACAATACTCACAATGTAATAAACAAGTCAGATATGTCTGTAAATGAACTTCAGGCATCCTTTAATGCGTTTAAAATGAATAAAAGTGATGGGTTAGACGATATTTAAGTCAATATTCTAAAAGCTGTTTTTGATGCTATTAAATTTTGTTTATCTTCAATCTTTCAATAATAATCAGTATTTCTCCTTGCCAATTAAAAATAGCAAGAGTTGTCTCTGTGTACAAAAATAGTGAAAATTCTATATCATCTAATTACAGACCCATATCTTTTCTTTCTTGTTTTTCAAAGTTGCTTGAGTGTATTATGTATAACAGACTATATAGTCTGAAAAGAAAAAATCTTGAAAAGCATAAGATCTTATTCAGCAAATATTTTGGTTTTCAAAAAGGGCATTCAACGCATCATGCAGTAACTAATTTAGCCAGTCAAATTCTGGACGAGTTTGCTCATAAAAGTTAAATTTTCGGCTTTTTCATTCGCTTGTCAAAAGCTTTTGACACTGGTGATCATGAATCTCTTTTGAACAACCTAGAAACATATGGAGTAATAAACAGCAACTTACAGTGGCTACAAAGTTACCTTAAAAATTGAAAAGAAGGAGTATCTAATATATCATCGTGTACAAAGTTAAAAACTTTGGAGTTCCTCAAGTCTCGATTATTGGACCCTTACTGTTTTTGATTTATGTAAATGATATCTATCTATGCTAAAACATGCTTAATTTTGACACTGACACTAATTTTTTTCATATCCATTTCAATATGAAAACAATTTTCTCTACAGTAAATAGCGAGCTGAAAAACTTTGATTACTAGTTTAAACCAAATAAACTCTTTTTGAAAATCAGTAAAAATAAGTATATTTTATTTTATAACTAATCTTAATCCGATGACTTGCCTCTACAACTTCCTCAGCTAATAATAAATAATAATATAGTAAACAGAGTTGCTTCACTTAAAATCTTAGGAATAATATTTGATGAACATCTTAATTTGGAAAAATCATACTATGCTAGTTAAAAACAAAATTTCTACAACTATAGGCATTATGCATACTACAAAACATTTGCTGAGTAAATATTTTTAATAGACTTATATTACTCTTTTATTTATAGCTACATAAGATATTGTAATATTGCTTGGGCGATTACTTGCCCTTCAGCATTGAAAAAAATATATGTTTATTAAACAAAAACAAGCCAGTAAAACTATATGTAATGAGCATAAATACGCCCAATCCTATCCGTTACTCCGGGAAGAACTAAAGCACTTAATGCCTTAATGAGTTACACTTGTTCCAAACCTTGTTATTCATGTTTAAATATCAAAATGACTTGCTTCCAAAACCCTTTAATAACCGATATCTGAAAATTAATCATAAATACTTAACTAGGTGCTCTATTTATAACTTTAATTTACTTTTTATTATATCAACTCTTAAAACATCTGATAACTCAATTTCATATAGAGGACCTCGTCCGTGGAATATAATTCTTGATGAAAATAGGAAAAGTATAGCTCCAATAAATTGTTTTAAAAATATAGTTAAACAGTAATAACTTTATATAGTATTTGACACACACAAACATATTTTTGTATTTTTAAGTAAAAAAAAAATTTATCTTTTATTTAACTATTACGGTTTTGTTTTGTTTTATTTATTTTATTGTTTCATCCTATTGTAATCGTAATATTGTAAATTTATTTATTTTATTCTTTTATCCTATTTTAATGTATTACCTTGTTTTATATAACGAGTTGTAATTCCAACTTTCATTGAATTTTGGCCCATATCCACGCCAAGCCGATCGTGTTTAGATTTTTACACCGACAGATTCTTAGAGTCTTAGAGGTTATCTATCAAAAAATCTAAATCCAATCAGCTTGGCGTCATATTTATGTGTTAATTTATATATGCATATATATATATATATATATATATATATATATATATATATATATATATATATATATATATATATATATATATATATATATATATATATATATATATATATATA